ATGGGATATAAGGCTTAAAACAAAGGAAGTCATACCTATGTTCTTTGAATCAAGACATTCATGAGTTCCTGGCCCCCATTTCCAAGCCTTGTTTCTTTGCCTCACTAGGAGACAAACACTGATGGTGTTGTTTTCAAGAGGAGCACATGCCAGCGTGGAGAGAAAGGCATGGGCCCATTCCTCTCCTGCTTCACTGATTCCTTGTGTTTTGAGATGAACCGGAGGAAAAAAAATGATCTTTCCCAACCTCCTTTGCATCCAGGAGCTATAAATGGAAAGAGTGGGTTGGGATTTCTCAGAAAGTTTCTTAGAGTAGTTGATCTAGCTGGGAAGTGGGTTTTTTTCTTTCTGTTTTTCTGTCTTATTTTTGGCTGACTATATACATGAAGATTTTCTCTCAGCAGTTATTTTATCACCAGGAAGGTGAAAGCCATTGATGCAGGAAGGGCTAGCAAAGGAAAAGCTGGCAAGGTCCTTTTGCTATGTGTGGACCTCTCCTAGCTGAAGCCACGATTCATGTCGTAGGCTAGTTATGACTGCATCAGGTTTAGGCAACATTTTCCTCTGGTGTGGCATCTCATAAGAAGATAGATGAGGAGAGTCCTGGCTAGGTCACCTGGCTTTTATTGGCCAACTGGTCCTGTGGGTTGATTTACAATGGGCTCTGTGTCATGGTCCTGGGTAATGGACAGCCAGAGATGGTAGAATGTCTTGCGTTTTCTCACATCCTTCAAAGTCCTCCAAGGCGAACTTTCTTGGGGGAGATGAGGAGGGTAGAGCTCTCCCCCATCCCACCCAAGCCCAACCTCCAAGACAAATACTGTGAGGCAAAGGGTCAGGCAGAGTTAACACTGGAGTGATGCGAATCTGAATGTCAGAGGTGTTGTGTCCTGGAGAGGTGTGGAGGGGGAAGACATCGTGGGGGGCTGGTAGGGGTCCTGCTTCCAGCAAGCTTTCTCCTGTGAGCTCAAGGGAGGGGATCTGTGTGTGGGTGAGGTCATCCGCTCTGCCTCACGGAGAGGCTGCTGGGGCCCGTGACCCTGGAGCCTTGAGTTTTAACTGGCTGTGCGCATTCTGTGCTGTGTAACACTGCACACCTTGTAACCTTTTGGGTGTCTCAGCTTCTCCATCTATAGTAACAGTAGCTACCCTTGGCACACTGCTGGCACAGATGCTTTCAGAACTTTCATGCAAACCGGGCTTTCTAGAAGAGGAAACTAAGGCTGAAGGGAGCCCTGACCTTGGGCCCAACGTCATATAGTAAGGTGAGGATTGGAACTGCTTCTACTTACAGTAACACTGTCACACCATCATTGCATAGATGTGTGTGTGTGTGTGTGTGTGTGTGTGAGAGAGAGAGAGAGAGAGAGAGAGTACTAGTAATGGGCCTGAACTCAGTGCCTCTTGTTATGTTTCCACTGTCTTCCTGGCTCAAAGCAGGTGCTCACTAAATACTTGTTAAATGAGTGGCTGGATGGACTTGGGTTCTGCCACAGAAAACCAGTTTCATTCCCTCTCTCTGATTCAGTGCCACCGTTTGTATGAGGACATGAGGATGTCCCAGCCCTACTCCTCCACCAGGAAATCTCACGGAAGGACAGAGGAGAGCTACACAGGTACAGAAATGCAGTTTTATTGTGGGGAGGGGAGTGGGGAGCAGGGGATAATGGTATCCGTGCCACTGTCCTACTGTGAAGAGTTTGTCTGGGAGGTCTGTGGAGCTGGATTTGGCCTTCCTCTCTCCTGGGACTTTCCAGAGGGAGATGACACAAGATTCAAGTGGACCCCGAGGTCATCGTCCTAGAATGAGATCACAGGGTGTCTGGATGTTGGAAGTCATAATACAGTGGGGGCTGCCATTCTCGGGAGCCCTCGTGGGACCCTGATCTGTCCCAGCCCTCCCACAGCACCCCATGGCACCTTTTTCTGACACCTAGTCCCCATTCTTCCTCATTCCTCTCCCATTCTCTAGAATAATGGGAGATGGAAACAGACTGGAAAGCAGCCAGAACTTGAGCCACAATCAAGGTGAAATATGATCAGGATGTAGATCAGTCTGAGATCAAGGTCAGGGTTCAGTCTGTAACCAAAGCTTGGGGCTTAGCCAATAGCCGGCGTTAAGTTCAGTCTGTGACTAGGATCTGGGCTCAGTCTAGGTGTGTATCAAGGCTCAGAGTTGATGGTAGCCAGAATCAGGGCTCAGTCTGGGGCCAGGATGGGGACTTAGATTGGAATTCATTTTAGGGCTCAGTCTTTGCTGGAAAAAGAAGCAAAGCCCAGCCTGGTTCTTGCTTGCTTCCCCACAGGTTCTGTGCATGGTGGTGCAGAGCCGGCCCTTACCAGCAGGTGGCACCACAGCAGTCCTCCACGTGCTTCCTCTTCAGAGGATGGCTTGCAGGTCAGCAGGGACAGCTGAAGGACAAAATCAGGAGCAGGCCTCAGTCTCTGCCATGGAAAACGGCACAGACCAGAGACCACTAGCTACTACCCTCGAGGGGCCAGTGGCAGCTGTGGGACCTCAGGGGTGCCCTAGCTCCCCTCTTGTGAAATGGCTATAATGACAGTCCCTACTGCACAGGGCAGGGCTGCTGACAGGATCCAAGGTGACTGCCTAAGGCCATTTTCATAAAGCTACGTCCAGGGCCCTGGTGCCTTCAGTGTCCCCCTCACAGTGCCCCCAGCCCTATGATACCTGGTCACCTAAAGGCCATAGAGCTTCCTTGAGTAGCAGAAAGACAACCCCATCCCCTTCTTGCCCTGCATGTTGGACTTCCTAACCAGGCCTGACCAGGCCAGGTGCAGGGCTGTGTGTTCGCATACGCCCTTCCCCGGACTGTGACTTACCACTCAGAATGTCAGAACCGAGAGACAAGTTCAGACTGTTGATCAGGGTCTGGAGCAATGGGCACACCTAACAGACAGGAAGGGAAGAGGGGTGGGGGGGGTGGGGGGGAGGAGGAAAGAAAGATAGTTCTCAACAGGAAATGCATGCCTGCCACCCCACTGAGGCTGGCTTCCTCATCTGAGAAACTTTGACCTCAGGATCTGTGAACAATGGAACCCCCCACCTCAGGCGCTCCAAGTCTAAAACCTCAAACTACTAGGAGTCTAGAATCTAAAGAGTCCAGAAGTAGATTCTCAGAAACTTTCAGCTTGGAAACTCAGGGATCTTTGAAGGTTCCCATATTTCCTAGGGACTATCGGCGCTGTTCTTAGGGCATACCTTCATCCTGTCACCTGCGGAGGCCTATGAGAAAACTGGGGCAGGGCCTGAGAGTGAACTTTCCTCCTCTTTTCCTGCTCTCTCTCTCTCTTTCTCTCTCTCTCTCTCTCATCATCTATTAACCATCTATCCTCCCTCCCTCCCTCCTTCCCTCCTTCCCTCCCTCCCTCTCTCTCTCTTTCTCTCTCTCTCTTCATCAACCTATCTATAAAGACAACCTGGGTGCTGGTGGCTCATCCTTGTAATCCTAGCTACTCAGGAGGCTGAGATTTGAAGATTGTGGTTGGAGGCCAGTCCAAGCAGAAAAGTCCTTGGGACTCTTTTTTTTGGTCAGTCATGAAGCTTGAACTCTGGACCTGGACACTGTCCCTCAGCTCTTCAGCTAAAGGTGAGCACTCTACCAATTGAGCCACAGAGCCACTTCCAATTTTCTGGTGGTTCATTGGAGATGAGTTGCAAGGACTTTCCTTGCCTGGGCTGGCTTTGAACCGAGATCCTCAGATCTCAGGATTACAGCTAGTAGCTAGGATTACAGGTGCCTAGCCTCTGTGAGACTCTTTTCTCCAATCCACCACCAAAAAGCCAGAAGCAGATATGTGGCTTAGGTGGTAGAGCTCTAGCTTTTAGCATAAAAGTTCAAAGTCAGGGCAGAGTTCAAAGGCCAGGACAGGCTCACAAAACAAAACAAAACAAGGCAATGGGCAACATGCAAGATATGGGTCCTATGATCTCAGCAATGCCAGGCCCTGTGCCCCTCAGGCTGAGATACTGAGGAGGAGCCCACCACAGCCAGATCAGCCCAGTGAATGCCACTTCTGCCCCTGCTCCAAGACCTAGCTGTGGGTATGAGGAGTGGTGGGAGGTGAGTGGGGGAGGGGAGAGACTCACAAGATTTTGCAGCAGGAAGGACACTCCTGTCCTCAGGACACCAGAAGTCATATCCAGTAAGTTGTTGAGCAGCCAGATTCTTCTGAAAAAGATGAAGAACCAACAAAACCTGGTCAAGTGGGCAGAACACCTTGAAGACAGATGTGCCCTGGACTCTGAATTGCCCTCCCAGCCACAGAGGGTACCCTCATGCAGAGGGCTGTCACCTATCACCCACCCCGACAGCTCCTTACCCAGGGCATCTGGAGAGTCTCCTCACAACTCTGAGACCTCATCATTCATTCCTCCCTTCAACCCATGCTGTCAGCCATGTATGTATGCCAGGCATCCAACTGGGCAAAATGAAGTGAACCTGGCCAACACCATCTTCAACTTTCAGTACAACTGTCACTCCCTCCAGGCAGCCCTCACGGACTGATCATTTAAGGCAGGGCCTGACTCTCACCATGTCCTGTTAAGTGTAATGCCCAGTGCAGGGCTCACCCCTTTCCTTGTTGGTCTGGATGCCTATCTGCTTGTCTTGCCCTTAGAAGGAACTTCAGGATGGACTCTGTTGGTCCTGAATTCTCCAAAGTTTAGGGCAGTGATTAAGTTACATATAGCCGATATGACACACATTTTGGGCTAAAAGAATGAGCAAAGTAAATATGCAACCAAACAAATAGAAAGCTATGATGTGAACTCTGAAGGGCCAGAGTAGACTATTAAGAGACAGAATAGACAAACTTTGCTAAGAGGATGATGAGATACATTGAGTTGGAGTGAGGAGAAAGGTGTTCCAGGTATCTAGACCATGGCTTGCAAAGGTCCTGTGGTAGGAATAAAACTTGTCCGAATTATAGAGCAAAAGCCCAGTGTGTCAGGAGCAGAACGAGGATGGGCTACACGACTAGGGGGAGGGCTCCGGACTGGACCCAAAGTGAGAAAAGAAGCTCAGAGAGAATTTGGAGCGGCAGCCCATTCTACAGATAGAGACACAGATCCAACATGGCAGGAGGCAGTCCCCTGTGACTTCCGGGCAAGGCCGGGTCTAACGGGCTCGGGCCTCTAGCATTGCACCTCAGAGTTGTGGATCCATTCCTTTGGTTTTTAGGAGGTTTCTGGGCCAACTGTGATCACACGCTGTGGTTGGGAGGGGCTGGAGCCTCTGGCCATGGTCACCGGGGTTGACCACCCGCGCTAGGCCTTGGCTAGACAAATTTTATTCTCCCAGTGAGGGCCAGAGCCACCCCCTCTCCCTCCACCTTCTTTTCTGAGCCAAACCTGCTTTTTCAAACACATAGTTTAAGATGTAGATTTTGTGGATTAACAGGGATGAATGATTTCAATGGAGACAGATTAGGATTTCAAGCTCTTATTGCAGGAATTTGCTAGTGGGTGGAGACCAATGTGAAATGAGAGCTCCTGATGGGCTCCCCCCACCCCCCACTCAAGCAAGGCAAGAAAGCAGATGCAATTTAAATATCATGTTACATATCCATCATTCTGTAAGGATAGATAGATCTTAATTCTCCAGGAAGATGTAACAGCCTCTTACGCATGCATGCACCTAACAAGAGAGCTTCAAAGGCATAAGTAACATGGACATTGATAGAATTGAGATTCATGATTATGGTTAACATCTCCTGCCTCAGTGATGGAGTTGAACCCTTCTTTGAGTCAGCTTGGCTGGGATGATTGCTGAGAGTTTGAGATAGCTCAGGCTCTTGTTAAAGGTTTATTTTCTGGCCTTCCATTTTTAGAAGGCTATGAGTAAGCACCATTATTGTCCCCACATTACCTATGTGAAAACTGAGACTTCAAAAGATTCAGCTAGTTATAGAGTTCTAAGTTATTGGGAGAGCTGACCTCTCAAGTACTAGGACAGGAGTGGAATTAGGGGGTCCCCAAGTCCATGAGCCTCACCTTTGCAGAGACAGAAGGCGGTCTTACCTGTTCAGTATGGAGATGGAGAGTTTGTCTAAGTCAATGGAGCATTTTGACAAGGTTACCTTCAGCTGTTTGGTCTGGGGATCCTTTTCAATTGCGAGTCCGCCCACAAGATCCACAGTGGTTGACAAGTCCAACACCTGCTTAAGGAGAGGCCTGAAGGAAATGAGAACCACAGTGATCAGCGATGGAGACTGCTTCCACATGGTTCCCTGTCTTCCTCTGCCTGGGTGGGTGATGTCTACATGCACCATGTTACACAATCAAGGCCATGAGGGTTTAGCTCATAGGAAATTTTTATTCAGTGTCTCACTAATGATTTCCCTGTGTAGCTCTTTTAAAATTAAAATTACATTTTATATGTAGGCAGTTTAGGGTATAATGCACATTATAATGTGTATTTATTTGTAATGCTCCCTGCTATTTAGAGACTATGGAGGCATAAAATAATGCTGGGAGAAATTTTGCCAAAGAATGTTCTCAAGTTTTCCAATTAGGTATTCCTTCCTTCCTTCCTTCCTTCCTCCCTCCCTTCCTTCCTTCCTCCCTCCCTCCCTCCCTCCCTCCCTCCCTCCCTTTCTCCCTTTTTTTTTTTTGAGTCAGTCCTCTTGCCCTTGATTGGATTAAAAAAATATTGTAAAGATGCTGCTGGTTGGATTTTTTGTTTTTCTCTAAGCTGGTATTCTACCACCCAAGCCACAGCTTTCTGCTGATTAATTGGAGATAAGAGTTTCACAGACAACAATGAGATGTACAAGTGGTTATGTCGAAAAATGAAATTTACAACTTTGGTGGGGGGGTGGAGGATCAGGTAGGGGGGGCAGTATGGGAAGGGATGGGAAGGGGAAACAAAGGAGGAGGCAACAATGCTGATAAGAAATGTACTCGTTATCTTGCCCATGTAATTGTAACCCCTCTGTACGGTATTTTCACAATTAAAAAAAAGTCTCACAGATCCCTTAAGAGAGGAACCCAAAGGCACAATGCCTATGTGCATCTGATCATATAGAATAATATTTACCAGGGGGAAAAAAAGAGTCTCACAGACTTTTCTTCCCAGGCTAGTTTTGAACCTCAACCTCAGCTTCCTAAGTAGTTAGGTTTCAGGTATGAGCCGTAATTAGCACCCAGCCCAATGAAATCAATGTCATAATTTCAAAAGTATATTAGATGGAGTGTTCAGAGAGACTTGTCAAAGCTTACTAGACTATTTTTAAAGATCGGGAGTTTGAATCTGAGAAAGTTCCCCTCATTTACAGATTGGAAAACTGAGGTTACCGGCCACATCTCAGCCCCAAGTCCCCAACGGGCCCAACCCAGGTCTAAGTCATCAGTACTCACAGGACCACAGACACTTTGGCAGTAAGTGGGACTCGCAGCTGGAGGTCTTTGCCGTTGGCAGACAACTCAGGTTTAATACCCAGCATGGCAATGTCGGTGATTTTCAGCCTGATCAAAACCCACAATATTGATGGTTTATTAGCTCCTGGGGCAGCCATTTGCGGCAACACTCTCTGGCCTGTGATTTGCCAAGAATTTGGGCCTCACCAACCTCTGCCCCCTCCTCCCAGGCCTCACTGTGCCTGCTCAGAACGGCTACTGTCTGCCTCCCAGGACAGACTGATAGGATGGTGCCCCGAGAATAAGTGCCAAAGCCAGAATGTGAACCCAGAACTTCATGTCTCCAAGTCCATGCATGCATGGCGCCAACTACCCGCAAGAGGTATGGATTTCCTGTTTGTTTCCCCAGTGGGTTTCAAACTTTTCTCTTTAGCTGTATTTAGAGAATAGCCTTATTCTTTGGGAAAATCTATAGGAACCAGAAAACAGGTGGAGTTGAGGATGAACAAAATGATTCATCCTGAAAAACTCAACCCCATGAGATGCTCAGACAGGTCCTTGAGTGCAGACCTCATCTACTCATGCTGAGGGGGGGGGGTGAATGATCAGGGGAAGGGCTGGCCTCAGACCACAGTGGTGGAGCTGGGGAAAATATGGCTTGATCTTACTCTGACTTCTTTAAAGACATATTTTAAAAAGTATTGTCCCTCTTTTGTGGGCAAAACAACGTAAAGTACCAACGTACTGAATTCCATTTGCTGTCAGCAAAGACAAGGGACTTTGCAACAAGTTTGTGGTATCCAGAAGCTGGTTTTTGATCTGGAGGAAAGACTGGGATTGCTGGATCTCTTGTAGTTTGTCGTTGATTTTCAGGATGTCACCTGCCAAGACAAGTCACCATGCAGTGTCATATACCACTCACTCAGAAAACAGACAGGCTTACCAGGGAAGACAGTCATTTCTATGACAACCCAAGGAGATAGATGTTGGTATTACTTTCATTTGACAGATGAAGAAATAAAGGTCCAAAGGTTAAACATTGTGTCTAGTCCCAGAGCAAGGGAGCCTTTCTTCCTCCCCATGCGGCCCTCATACTAACACACATCATTTACCAATAAAGCAATTGATCCATTAGCCATTGATATTGTGTGTACATCTGTCTATGGTGACTGAGGTCTATGGCTTTAAAGGAGGTACATCAGTTTGAGAAAAAAAAAAACCAAGTCAAGCAAAATGAGAGAGTATAATAAAAAGGGGAAAATTTGGTATTGAGGAGGAAATATGGCTCCAATTCATGGGAGTAGAAAATGGGGCCCGGAATGGCAGTTTTGTAGCAGCTGAGAAGATAGTAATTTTCTATAGTAGCAGGAGGAGGATGTCCTATTGTGAGGCCCTGGGAACCCAGGGACAAAATGAAGAAAAAAAAAGTCACCACAGATGTTGGATATTGCCTGTGAAAGAGTTCAAGATGTGTAGAAAATTCAAGTGAGAAACAACAAAGCATTACTAATTCAAGGTGAAACAAAGCATTGGAGAGGGAAGGAGAGAGCAGAGAAAGAAAGAAGCTAGACTTGGGCTGGGAAAGTGGCTCAGTGGTAGAGCACTTGCCTTGCATGCTCGAGGCCCTGGGTTCGATTCCTCAGCACCATGTAAGAAAAAAAAAGCCAGAAGTGGCACTGTGGCTCAAGTGGTAGAGAGTTAGCCTTGAGCTGAAGAGCTGAGGGACAGTGCCCAGGCCCAGAGTTCAGGCTCCACAACTGGACCGCCCCCCCCCCAAAAAAAAGAAAAGAAAGGCTAGGCTTCAGTTTTCAGCTGCGAAATTCCAGAACAAGTACTGTCTTTATTTTTGAAGGTTGCTTAATCCTTGACAAGGTTTGAAAGGCAGCCATTTGCAGAAGTTGCCTCCTCCTACCAGAACTGATTTTCAGTGTCCTGTAAGAATTTCCAGAAAAATGAAGAAAAAGCCAAGTTCTTTTATAAAATGGAAGAATAATTAAAGGTAAGTGGGTAGGTTTATAGAGAAATAGTACTCCTTTAATTCTCACAGATTAATACAGATCAGCAGGATAGAGTCAATCACCAACCGGAGAATATTCTAAGAACACAGACAAAATGTTTTCGTTAAAGTATGTGAAGGCACAATAAATACATTTTTTAAAAAAACAAGAAAGTTCTCATATTTAAAGACATGCAAAGAGAAGTAACTTTCAATTCATCTACAAGACTAGCAAAAGATTTAAAGCTGCCCAGACCAGGGAGGAGAGAAGGGGGAAGAAGGAGGAGAGAAGGGGGAAGAAAGATGGAGAAAAGAAACTCTCTCAGCTGGAGAAAATGTTAATATAGGAATTATTTGCCAGTATTTAATTGAAAAATGTACATGCTTTTTGAATTTTTGAAATCTCACTTTTAGGAACTTATCCTATGCCCATATTGTCAAAAGTTTATCAGGATAAAATATGTAAGAGGATATTTATTTTACCCTTATTTATTATAATAAAATGAAAAACGGAAGAACCATCTAAGTAAATCAGCTGTGAAGGGCATCTCCTGGTGGTAGCCTCTAGTATTGCAGGCACAGTATTAAGGTCTGAGTGGTACTTGATGGTCACATTCTCACTGACTCACCTTGAAGCACACTGTTATCACCTTGAACAACAGATTTCAGATTATCACCTTCAATAATAGGTTTCAGATTGTCCACAGTTTTACTCAGGGTGCCACTGAAATCTCCAAGAACAGACGCCGAGGCCCCATTGAGCAGGCCGCACAAGAGAACAAGTTTCCAAAGCTGAAACATCTTCAGTCTTGACACCAGGATAGTCATTGGAGAAACAAGAGGAAAAAGAATGGTCAGTGAAAACCTGTCATTCCCAGCTTAACCTTCCTGTAAAGCACATGTGGCTATCTGGTCGACAGATGGGCAGCCCAGGTCAGAAAGCCCAGAGCCTCTCCCCCAGAGCCATCTAGCCAGCGAGGGAGGGGCTGGGATTCACTGTGGTCAGCCTGCGATGACATAGGAACTTTACCCATGCTGACTTCTCAGCCTGAAGTGGCTTTCTCCTTGCTCACTGTCACCCTCCATTTCTCCACTATGGCCCACCTGAGCCCTTCCCCAGCATCTTTAACCTACCACCCGACTGCCTTCATTCCCTGACTAGTGCATATCAATTACCTAATGCCTTTGCTACCAGGCTGTAAGCTCCCTCCTTAGAACAAGAACTGAGACATCCCTCTTGGACCCCAAGATCCCAATAAAAGCCTATAAGCAAGTAGGCAAACTATATCTTGAACAAAGTGTAGGCTTAATCAATGGATTCCACATGACACCATTGCATTGCTCATTGATGACACCATTGCATTGCTCATTGATCTGAGACATCTCAGAATCTATCTTTCTCTAAATTGGTCTACTCTGATCCCAGCAGCCCTCGAAGTCTTGTGAAGACACCCCTCTCTACCAATGTGGGCAGCCACGAGGGGAGAGCCCAGCACTCACAGGCGTGGAAGACGGTGCTCGCAGGTGCTTGTTCCCCTACACCTTCTCCTGGGTTTCTGACGGTGCTGGTGGCCCTTATATGCTGGTGATGGGATGAGAGGCGATTCCTGCTTCCTGACCGTCCCATCCAAGGAGACTCCAAAGAAAATAGCCTAGGCTGGGCCAAGAGACACCCAACGTAAAGGTCACCCCGGACATTGGAGTTACAGTGATGGATGTTGGGGGGAGCCTTCTGCCAAGACTAAGACTGGGTCGCACAGAGCTCGTAGCTGCCCAGGAGGAGGTCAGGGGTGAATGTAAGGGGAACATGCAGGACAGGTTGAACTGGAGAAGGTTCTGATAAGAACTGGAAATCTTGGTGTGGAAACCAAGGCTCCAAGAGGAAAACTGCCAGCTGAGGTCACCTGGCAAGACGGAAATAGAACCGGGGAGAGGCTCACAAATCCCTCTATCCCGTCCTCCCTCTCTCCAGGGCCTCAGTGTGATATCTGTGATGATGGGAAGACCAGGAACCCCAAAAGCTTCCCTTTCCATCTTGTGGGTAGAATGTGAGAATGAGCATGGTAAGTTTCTGCATTAGTCTCACTTGGAGCCCACAGAAAAGTCCAGAAAGGTGGCATCTTGTTTGATGCTGTGTGGTCAGCATCAGGAGATAACCTACTTCCAAGCCAGGGTATCCCTCTGAGACTTATCCCCGCCCCCAACTCCCATCCCTCCAGCTTCAAAGGCCTCCATGTCCTTTCCCCGATTAATCCTAACCCAGTCTCCACCCTTGAGCCCCTGCTAGCCTCCTTTCCTGGAAGACGCTGGCCTCTTCTCCTCTGGCCTTCACACAAGCCGATCCCACTTCCTCTGGGGTGGAACTCTCCTTCCCAGTGGTCTGGGTCACCTCATGCCCTTCCCAGGTGCCCATCTGAGCTGGCACCTCCCACTGCTCCAGCCTCAGCTTCCTCACATCTGGACTTGTTTCTCCCTAGGGGTGAGGGGGGCAGATCTTGTGCCTTAGGGTCCCACAGGGACACACCCTCTCCCTCCGGGAAGTCTGATTAAAACCAGCCTCTACCTGAGGAGGCAGTGAGGCCCGATCAGCAGCAATCTCAGAAACTGGACAGGAGGCTGCAAAGATGGGGGGGGGATGGGAGGTGGGTATTCCACGTGACAGCGAGCCATACTTCTGAGAGTTCAGAGATCCTGTTGAGCCTCCTGTTTCCTCTTTCCTCCTCCTGGACACCCAGACTCCTCTCTTCCCCTCCCCTTTCCCAGACCCCAGCATAGCCATTCCGCCACTCCCCTCCCACCCACCCAGAACAAAGCGAGCTTTTCCCCCTGGCACACCCTCCCAGCTGACTTCAGAGAATGAAGAGCTCTGGTCCCCCTGGGGCCGGTTGTAAACAGCATCTATGACCTGATTTCTATGGAGATGGGTCACTAGCCATTCTGCCCCCAGCTTGCGTGGAGACAGGCCTTGGCTGTACCCCTTTGAGAGCTCCCAGTCTGGCCTCTCCTAGGTGAAGCTCACCTTTATGGAGAGAAACTACACCCCTTTCTTCTTGAGAGGCTCTGGGTTCTACTCCACTGACAGCATAGGGAATTTTTTTTTTTTTTTGTCCAGTCGTGGGGCTTGAACTCTGGGCCTGGGCCCTGTTCCTCAGCTCTTCAGCTCAAGGTTAGCGCTCTACCACTTGAGCCACAATGCCACTTCCGGCTTTTTTCTCTTTGCTTATGTGGTGCTGAGGAATCGAACCCAGGGCCTCAGGCATGCAAGGCAAGCGCTCTACCACTGAGCCACCTTCCCAGCCCCAAGCATAGGGAATTTTTGTTGTTGTTGTTATTTTGTTTGGTTTTGGTGATTCTGGGACTTGAACTCAGGCCCTCGTTTGCTGGGCAAGCGCTCTACCACTTGAGCCAGAGTCCCAGTCTTTGTTTCATTTTTTTTTTTTGATAGGGTGTTGAGATTTTGCTCAGGCCAGCTGCAGAGAACTATTCTCCTACCTCCAACTCCCTCTGCGCTGGGATGACACCCATGAGCCCACCATGCTTGGTTTGTTATACTTTTGTTTTTTTGGTCAGTTGTAGGGTTTGAACTCTGGGCCTGGGTGCTGTCCCTGAGCTCTTCAGCTCAAGGCTAGCGCTCTTATCACTTGAGCCACAGTGCCACTTCTGGTTTTCTGGTGGTTAATTGGATCTAAGAATCTCACAGACTTTCCTGCTTGGGCTGGTTTTGAACTGCAATCCTTAGATCTCAGCCTCTTGAGTAGCTAGGATTACAGGTGTGAGCCACTGGCACCCAGCAACATGGTTTGTTTTTGAGATAAAGTTTCAGAGATTTTTTTGCTTGATCTGGCCTTAAACTATGATCTTTCTATCTTTACCTCCGGAGTACCTGGTATTATAAGTAGCTGCTACCATGCTTGGTCCTGTGAAGAATTCTTGAATAAGCACATTCTGGATTTATATACTTGTATAAGTCTCTTTCACTACACACACACACACACACACACACACACACACACACACACACACGAATAAGACTGGACTCACATGAAGAAAACAGACACACTTCTTGGCCTGCACTGAGGAGTTCATTTCACAGAATCTAGTTGGTTCTTCCCTGAGGGAAATAAAATGACTGTTCATGCCAGGGGGATTGTGGACTTCCCAGAACGCCTGGGTCTGTTATATAATTTATCTGTCAAAACACAGAAAATGACAGAATGTATATCATTTGAGGCCTGGATCCAGAAATACCCGAAGAGATGCCCCTGGAGTTTTCAGCTCAAACGTGTCCCTTGCTCCTCCTTTATTGTTGCTACTGCTATTTGTTGTTGTTGTTGACAAGGTCTTGCTCTGTAGCTCAGGCTGGCCTTGAACTCCTGAGCCTCCCAAGTATTAAGACAACAGGTGTACACCAGCATGCCTGGATTTTTTTTTCTCCCCTAAATCAACATGAGTTGGCTTCCTCCTCTCAAGTGCACAGCAGAGCTGCCTGTGCAGCCCATGCTGCCACGTGGTGTGCTCCTGTCCCACGAAGATCAAGACAAGATCAAGATTAGTTGAACCCACTCAGGAGGCTGGCTTGAAATACGGGCGCCTGAGTCTGGTCCCTTGGTCATCTAGCTCAGGGGCTCTAGCTAGTGATGAACCAGGGACGGGCTGGTTGGACCCCAGGACTCACAGGTGTCTTTCCCCTTGAGTCCTCGAGGCTCATCCCCACCCAGACCTCCAGAGTCAGCTCATCCTCGACACCACCTTGCCATCCCTGCATGGCCAGGGCACAGCACTTGGTAAATACGCAAAGAGCCCTCAGCTGATGATAGCTGCCATTAAAAAAAAAATTAGCCAGGGCCTTTTTCTACCTCACCCCATTGCATCCTCCATCAGCTTCATAGGAGCAGTGGTTTTGCTCCCCCCTTTTCAGAGTGAGGCTGGAGGAGGAGAGGACTGCTCACTCTAGGCCTCACAGACAAGAAGGGAAAAGCTGGGATATGTGTTGGTGCCCCAAATGTGAGCACAGCAGTTCCAGGGTGCAGCCTCTTGGGGGTAGTAGTGAGTCATATTCTTCTCCCCACTCCCATCCCCACCCCAGGACTCAGGACCTAAATAAGTGGAGAGGGTGAAGGGGAAAGGGCCGGCAGCTGCTTGGTGCCTTAGAGATGGGCTTGGTGCTTCAGATACACATGCCTGCTAGTGCAGGCCTCCCATGATTCCAGCACGCAGGTTTGGAGAGCCATTTTCCAGTTGAGGAAAAGAGGTGCAGGAATGACTTACCAGTTTGGCCCCTGGAGAAGAGCCTGGCACCCACAGTGGGCTGCGGCCAGCTGGCAGAGCGGTGGTGGCCTCGGGTTTGCACGCCGTGCTCCCTTCGGCCGTGTTGTCTGAGCTGATTGTAATTCTGGGTGTTCGGGGCCTGTGTCCATCCGGAACAGCACAGAGACTCAGGTGGGAGTCCCCAAGGCCTTGGGCTGGGGCAGAGTGGTCTGGGCCCCTTCTGCTCTCCCTCTGCAACTCAGCCAGGACCCTTGGGCCTCTTCTCCACGTGAGTGTGACCAGGGAGTGTGACAAGGGAGGACAGCTCTGTGCTTCTGGGATCACAGCCTAGGACTAGAGCACAGAGTAAGGTGGCAGCCAGGCCCCTGTCAGAGCCTGGCTGTGGCTGTGGCTTCAACCAGTCCTCAGTTGACTCTTAGTTGCCTGCCATCAAGCTCCAAAACCCCATGATACCCCCTTCCCTGGCAGTGGGGCTCAGTGCTGGGGGTGGGTAGGGTGGATGAAATCTTTTGACAAGGGTATTCTGCACCCCAAGAACACAGCTTTGGGGAGGGTGGCTG